CCTCTATCTAATGTATTTAGGTATATGATGAATTGAAATATCTTTCATACTATTACCAATCCTTCCTATTTTATTCTATAAATTCTTTCACAAAAAATGAGTAGTTTTTTGTATGTTAAGAAACACATTATATATTATCCGAGCAATCACTAATTGAATAACTGGTTGATAAATCATTCTATCATTTCATTTATTCTTCGAAGACATCGAAACGTTTTCCGTTTCCTAAAATGTTTATTTTTTTGGCGATGTAGGTTGTTTAAAAACTAATGGAAACCAACTGTATACACTGTTCCTAATCATATAACGGCTTGCAACAACAAACAAAGGAAGCATCCGTGATGACTAGTATAGGATAAATTCTCTGCAGTTTGCATTCCTGAACTATGGCATAACCAAGCTAAAGTGACACTGGAATAATCTTTTATAAAAATTAAAACCTTTAATTTGCTTGTTATTCTATTCAATAGAATAAGATTTCTACTCCCAATGTAAGTAATCTTACAATTGGTGGTTAAGCCCTCGCGCACGAGACTGATAGATCCTGGATTCGAATCTCGAGAGGCGGGATCGTGGATTCTCACTGCTGAGGAGTCCCACAATATGACGTAACGGTTTTCCAGTGCTTCCAGGTTTTCCATGGTGGTCTAGCTTCATATTGTGGTGTATGCTACTTATATTAACATAAGTAGTACACGATGTTAGTCGTGATTTTATTTTTTATTTTGAACACATGAATATTGGTACAAGTGGACACCAAATATTTATGCGCCACACAAAACAATGAGAATTCGAAGAGAAAGAAAAAAGAACAGTAACGAATAGATTAGTGTAAGGTGGTGTAATAATAATAATAATAATAATAATAATAATAATAATAATAATAATAATAATAATAATAATAATAATAGTAATAATGGGGGAAACGGAAAGATACAATCAGAAGAAATCTTTCAAGTAAGGGAGACACAACCACTTTTTTATGAAGAAAGTAAAAGAAGGTTACAGTAGGATCGCCACTGGCTTCTATTCTGAGCCATATCTGATGATATCTGTAGCCACTGTGTCGCACCATCTCTAGGACTGCAATTAGGGGGTCATGAAGGACCAACACAAGCCAGCCCTTTGCAGCATTCCTTCATCCCACGACACTATGTCATACACTGACCACCTCTCCGCTTTTTCCAACCAGTCCCAGCTTCGGCAAATAATGCACGACGTGGAATCAGTCGTGAACAGAAGGTCTGGCAGCAGAGACAAGAGGATCGAACAGTAAAGAATGGAAACAAAATGTAAGAACAATGAAGTCTGAGTCATTTTTAGACAATCAGTGGACATTTTGCAAATTAAGCATTTACTTTATGATTGTTAGATTTTATTAACAAGTCCTGTAATTTAATGATAAATACACTCGATTGTCCCAACCCGTGTTCCGTTCACTACAATATGACTAATCTCAACCATTGAAATAACTATATCCACAAAAACCTTTTCTGCTATTAATCAACATATGCTCAATAGTGACTGACATCAAGGGGTGTTTCCTGGAGCTCTAATGAGAAATCGTGACCAATGGGGTTCAGTCGGGTCTGTTGTAAGATAATAACTCACTGAAGACAATCGTGGATGTGTCACTCAATTTCGTGGATTGGTTGAAGTTAGGCATTAACATCTTTCGATAATGGCTCAGTGGTCTTGAGGTTAGGCGTATTCACACAAGACCGACAGGTCCTGGGCTCGAGTCTCGCGGGGAGGGATCGTGGACGCGCACTTCTGAAGAGTCCTGTACTAGGACGAAAGAGCCGTCCAGTGCTTGCAGGTTTTCCATGATGATCTAGCTTCAACTGACTCATGATCTCAATATTAACATTTTTTGTGTTGAATAACAAGTGCCATTTTTAACTTGATATTTTGTAAAGTATTAGAAATCCTATCCTATTAACTACTACTTTTTTTATTATTATTATTAGACGATTTTAATCTTACATTTGTGTTATTACTGACTGTTGTTGATTACTTTCATAAATAAATGTAACTGCATTCTATGTGCCTACTAAGTTTTCAGCTCAACTGTTCTATTTGTTTTTTCTTTTACAGATTTTATTATAGACTGCTCCTTACACTTTCCCAGCGCAAAACGTATCTTCAAACTAGATGTAAATCCACTAAAGGCTAAACGTTACAGCTTCTTTAATTATTTAGTTAATTATCTACGAACATAAAAATCTTTGAAATACTAATTATGTATAATTTTAAGAAGTACAACTTTATTCACGGACTAGACCCAAAAACAACAAAACCTTATGTTAATCTAAGCTATTTTTCTGATGCAATTCTAATTAACTATTTATTAAATAAACACTGTTCACTTGTAATTTGAGATGTATTTTGTCCTCAAACTAATTGACTTCTTCATTAATTAATTATTTTTTTTAAAAAGCCCGAATTGCTTGTTTTATTTAATTTACTAAGTACATGTTCGATATCATAATGATATCGTATTTCAAATTTGACCGTATAAAGTTAGATGAATAAAAAAATATCGAAAAACTTTGACTGAAAATAACTGAAATATTAATTCACTACTTATAAATATCATTTCAAGATGAGCCTATTGTTGCTTAATCAAAATATAAGATCAATGAATTATGGAACTAATGTCTAAACTGCTTGTTATCTATTACTAAAGATTAAAGTAAGGGATAGATGACGGATTCTTAGTAATTTATTAAACTCCACGTTATTGATAAAATAACTACTCAAAATGTTCATATCTGAAAATTAATTGACATAAATTTGTGAATATAAAATTCACTGTCAAAGTACCATATCATTAAATGTTACTTTTAAAAAAAAAATCTGTCATAATTAATGGACATCATAAATTATAAATTAGGGTAACATTATTTGAATCCATCAAAAATCTATTTCATTTTTTTTTCAAAAATTTAGCATAGAAGCTAGTGTAATAATAAATATTAAATATTCCCTACAAGTGAGATAAAACTATTCAACATTTTCAAATAGAAACTAAACTTCTATAAATAACGATTCATGGTATTTATGTCTAAATAATTTACAGCAGATACATCATACCTTAGACAATTTATATCACAAAGTTAGGTGACTGACAATAATAAATCACCCAGTTAATATAAACTATTATTGTGTACAATTGCTTTTATCCAATTACGGATCCAAGTATATGATTCTGTCATTCAACAATGACAAGAAACCTCAAAATATTATGAATTCATACTATTCTGCATAAATATTTGTTCTTGCTCTATTTAAATTCATAGAGGGAATCAATTGCATGAAATCATATCACAGCCCAAATATCACAGCAGTGATAGAGTTAATCTCAAAAAACAAAAATGTAAGAAACATGAGTATTAGCCAGGATTACAGATACTTCTTCTTAATAAATTCCAACAAGTATTGAACCAAACATATAGTTTCTAGTTATTTGTCCCTACGCTCCTAATATCTTACACATCAAAAGTAAGTTCGAACTTGACAGGATATTTATCATTTTGGGTGAATTTAAAATGTTAAGAATAAACATTTCAATCAGTAGGAACACATTACATTCATCGACTACTCCAAATAAGCTGATGAATATTTGTTTATTGCTCTTATCTAAATTGAGTTATTGTTCCATTTAAGAAACCAGAAATACATCCTAATTGTTGTATTGTTGTACAGTCTACAGAAAATATTTTCGCTTCATTCTATGTGCAACTTGTGGCAGGCAAGTAAGGATAACTTTTAAAAAGTTACACCACCTATTGGTATGGATTATATCAAAATCCTTTCAGAGGCAAAAACGAAATACCACTAAGTAAAAAATACGAATGGGAAATTCAATATGTTAAAGCTGAATGATTTAATATGAAACTATGATGTAAAGGCTGTTCCATCTCATTACATGATGAGATCAAAACAGACTCAGCGAAGAAAAGCAGATCAAGATATCCTCAGATAAATATTTACAATTCGATCTACATAGTCATTATCACATTTATTAGGAAAATCAATGGCTTTACATTTGTCTGTGGTACTTATTCTACCATTCTTGTTGCTATACTTGAACGGTATGATTATCTTCTAAAATTCTTTATTAAGCGATTGTTTAGTGTATATACACAATGTAGTTAATCTGTCACTTCATGTACATTGAAGTATATTTCCACTTTCAAACACAAACAGCTTTCCAGTACTATGTATCTAATATATGTGTAATAATGAAAGAAAGATCAATTTTAGCATGTTTACACATCAGAACTTTTCACATCAGTTAAAATAGAAATATTCAACCGTATGAACATTTCATATAATTCTTTCAAACATATTGCTATTTTTGTGCTAAACTCTTTTTTTTATAATAATGATATCAATAAACTAGGTGTATCAATCACGAATAATTGATATTATTTTTCCCAGCTTATAAGAAACTGAAGAGAATACACAAAATATGTGAATTTATAGTATTATGCTACCCTACTACTTAAATTTATCAAAGAGAAATATGATATGGGTTTCCCCAACAAATATTCAAGGTAATCTTAATAATAATACATACAGTTATGAATTTGATTTTTATCTTACTCATTATAATGATCGAAGTTATACACTTAGCAATTACAGTAACTTAATTTACAGGAATCCTATCAATTAAAATGAACCCTGGTCACTAAATTAAATGAATTGACATTATAATGCATTTTGTTTAAATGGTTGGAAGATATATACTGGAAGCCTTGAACATAGATTGTGTTGGTTGACAGTTATTGATAAAATGTGACTGTACTCTTCAGGGAACTGATGCACTCCCACGGTTTCGATATCATAACACCTAGTTCTACAGTCAGAAGTGGCATTACTCAGCTAGTAGTTCTGATTTTCAGCATAAAAAGAAAGCATAGAACATGGAAGTATCTTGTATACCTGATCATAAATCCGTACAAAACTGAGAACTACTTGAAAAGTATGTGATTGTAACAACAAACAATCGGAATAACTTTTATTTCTGATGAATTTTGAATAGAATTATACAAGACTGTCATATTCATATTGATTTATACAATAACACAACAAGGAGTATATTGCATACATTTACTTCGTTTTATACAGAAAAATTAGTGTTTTATCAAAAAATGTATAATTCTAATACATACAAGGCAAAATTTCACCCAGAAAGATTTTCTTATCACTACCAACAGATAAAAGTATTGGTTCTGTAGGATGAAATGCAGTCTCGTTTACCGACGCTGTGTGACCAGGAAGTTTATACACTAACTGGCGCGTGTTTACATCCCAAACATGAACATAACGATCACCACTGCCGCTAGTTATACGACGATTATCAATTGACCATGCACATCGAAGAAGATTCTTCTCGAATGTATGCTGATGACCCGTAAAAATCTGAAGGAAGCAACAAAAATATGCTCAGTTATATACACATGTACATACATGATTTCCTTAAATATATTTAGTCGATTTTTTACTTAATTTACAGATATTCATGCAAATAAGAGTTTTGTGGAATATATTACTATGTGACTCATTTCACGGTCGTGTAAATGATCATTGAATGATAATAACAATAAAGCATGAGATCAAGTAGGGTCTGTTAATCTATACTGAACGTTACACTCCTTGTATGAAGTCTAATGTTGTCAGTTGAGAGTCGAAAATAAAACGAGCTGAGTAAAGCTGGAACTGTTGACACCACAATTGACGATTTGATTACCAAACTGTTGAACTGAAGCTCTAAAAATGAGGTATTTACGTACATAATGATTGTGCGAACAATTATGTAGAAATATGATAGCCGGAACAAACAATATCAGTCAGTCAGTCAGTAACAACGTAGAACTTCGTACGTACGTACATCAGTTCGAGTTGCCACACCACATTAGCACAGAGATGCCGTGGTCGATTCAAATCCCGTAGTCGTAGAGGTAATAAGAGTATAAGCAGTGATCGGGAAGATTAGGGTTTGGAGATGTTATTTAAAGAGCATAATTCAGTGAAATAAATTTGGAAAGAGGAAAAAAGGGACATGAAGAATTCAGAAGATTAGAATTTGGGAGAACACAAAGAGTGAATGCACCTGCGCCATTGCAAACGATTTTGAGCCATGTCATTCAGGGTCTCTAACCATCGGTTGCTATCATCTCGCGGTCCCCAACCAGGTAGTCTATACCTATCAACATGACTCAGACCACTTGTCAGTGACTTCATGGACTTGTGCCATGTTTTGGTCTGGCCGCCCCTAGCTTTCTTCCAATCTACTCCCATACCACTGAACATCGCACGTCGAGGCAGTCGGTCGTTGGGCATACGTAACACGTGTCCCAGCCATCTCAACTGATGAAGTTTCACTACTTCATCAATTGATTTGCCATCCTCACCTAGTACCCGTTTCCTAACAACTGTGTTACTTACTCGATGGTCCCATGATATACGAGCAATGTTTCGAAGACACCTATGATCGAATACTAGTAACCTACGAATATCCTCTACTCTTACCGGCCATGTTTCACTGCCATAAAGTAGGACGGGACGAACTGCTGCGCAGTAAACACGTCCTTTGGTTGATAGACGGATATCTCGCCTACGCCATAAATGACGCAAGTTGGCAAAAGCTAGTCGAGCCTTCTGTATCCGTGCTGAGATTTCGTCACACACCAGACCATAAGGGCTGATGAGACTTCCAAGATAAGTGAAGCGGTCGACACACTCAACTACTTCACTCCCTATCACTAGTTCGGGTGTCGATGTAACCCGATCCTGAAGCAACATTTTGCATTTCGAGGGAGAGAATCGCATCCCGAACATGCTAGCATTGTTGCTTAGAGTGGTCAGAAGATTCTGCATTTTATCAGCGTCTTCACCAATTAAAACTATGTCATCAGCATATTCTAAGTCAACAAGTGAACCACCCGGTAGAAGTTCAACCCCTGGAAATTTAGATGAGGAGAGTGTCATCTCTAAATGTACGTCAATGACAAAGTTGAACAAGAATGGAGAGAGTGGACAGCCCTGACGAACACCACTTGATGTAATAAATTCTGATGACAGTTCGCCATAAGCTCTCACTCTACCAGTTGTGTTCGAGTAGAGAGCCTGAATAAGGTTAATGTACTTCTTTGGTACTCCTTTCAGTGACAAACACTGCCATAGAACCTCACGATCAACAGAGTCGAATGCCGCCTTAAGGTCGAGAAATACTACCATTGTGAGGCGTCTAAACGTGTGCCTGTGTTCTAAAACCTGACGTAGTGTGAATATCTGATCTATACAACCACGTCCAGGTCGAAAACCGGTCTGGTTTTCTCTAATCTGCACTTCACGAGCTTTGATTAGGCGTCGAAGTATTATTGAGGCTAATAGTTTAGACACTATATTAGTCAAACTGATTCCTCTATGATTGTCACAAGACGACTTTTCTCCTTTCTTATAGACTGGCACAATCAGCGATTGAGACCAGTCAGATGGAATTACGTCCAGTTCCCAAATTCTACCTAAGACCTCGGTTAATCTCATTGCTAATACTGGACCACCATCCTTAAAAATCTCAGGAGTAAACCTGTCAGGGCCTGCTGCTCTCCCTCGCTTCAGATTTCCTATGGCCTTTTCAACTTCGTAAAGAGACGGAGGACCTACATTAACTTGCCATTCAGGTTGACTAGAGATCGTGGGAAACCGAATTGTGGCTGAAGGCCAGTTGAACTGATCCCTGAAGTGTTCTGCCCATCGATCTAATCTCCTGGATTGGGAATGAATAATATGTCCATCTTTCTCTGAGATTGTTTCGCTAACGGTCGGGTTCCTAATTACGGTTTCCTTAACGAGTCTGAACAATTGTCTGCTATTACCTATTGCCGCTGCCTTTTCCATCTCTCTTGCTTTCGCTACCCACCACTGTTCACGATCGTTGCGTAGACTTCTTGTCAGCTTGCGCTTAAGCTGACTCCGCTCTTCACTATGTTCAGAGCCAGGTGGAATGAGTTTCCGAGCATCTATCAATGCGACAGATGATGCTGAGATCCAGTGTTGATCCCTAACCTTCTGATTTACCTTACTAGTAGTTATCACTGCTGTTTCCACAGCTTTTCGGATATTATTCCAAGCTGCATCGGGGTGGGCATCACATACATGGCTGCCTAACTGTTTTTCTAGTTGTTCCTGAAATATACTCTTAGCTTGACTATCATTAAGTAAGGACCTAAGAGGTTTACTTGCAGCGTCTTTCTTACGTCCAGTAAGACGCAGACAGATACGCGCTCGTACTAGAGCATGATCTGAATCTAAGCATGTGCTCCAGAATGAGCGACAGTCTTCTATCGAGCCCCTCCATCGGTGGCTGATAGCGATGTGATCTAGTTGGGTCCAGCGTTGGGACGAATTAGGGGGTCTCCATGTTAAAAGATGTTTTTCCTTATACTTAAAGTTAGTATTTGCAAGGAACAGGCGATTATCTGAGCATAGCTGCAACAGACGGTCGCCATTATCTGTTCTCTGAGCCACGACACCATAAGATCCACCTAGTTGTCTTTCCCTATCGCTTAGTTTACCTACTTGAGCATTAAAGTCACCGGCCACTATTACTACATCCGAACGCCTAGCTTTTCGGAGAAGGTCGGAAAGCTTCCTGTAAAACTAATCTTTTATATCATCTGAGCTGCAGTCAGTGTGAGAATAAGCAGAAACGACGAAGAGGCAACGACGGGTGTCCCTATCTTTCCGGATTCTTACTGTTCCGTTCAGTCGGACAGCGCACAAACGGCTGTCTACTGGGATCCACTCTAAGAGAGCTAGTTCTGCTCTGGGACTCAATGCTATACCTACGCCGGCGAGGCCACGCGAAGCAGAATCAGGGCTTCCAGATACACGAAGTGTGAATCGAGTCGGTTCTTTATTTTGACATGGTGAGGTCAGATGAATGACGCTACTCGAATCCTGTATGCGCGTTTCGGAGACGCAGCACATATCGATGGCGCGGGATTCTAAAGTCTTAGCTAAGGAAGCCTGCTGTCCTATTTGGCACAGTGTTCGGACGTTAAAAGCTCCAACGTGTAGTTTAGAGCGTGGTTTCAGGAGACCAGGAATAGCGTTCCACGTACTCAAATCGTTTGCCCTAGCAGTGCGAGGTGATAAAGAGACATGAGGAGGGTTAGTCATGGAGATAAGAGAGGTATTAGGAGGTGTAGGAAGGATTTGAATGTGACCAACTTGGTCTCGTGTGCTGTTACGGGTATGAGGGCTGATGTCACTTCCCGGCTGCCCACACCGTGGAAGGGTATTTCTTGAGGAACCTGAAAAGGAAATTGGATTAGTGTTGGTCTTGACGACCTGGGAGCGTGAACGCAGAGCCCAAGGGACAACTGCTTGAGGCCGGTCGCGCACGGCCTTTTTGTGGTAGGTTTTTGACGTGTTAGCTCCGTTCTTCAAAGGGCCTTACCGCCGGAGACGGAAATCCGCGAGGTAAGGTGAGGTGTGACATTTTTAGGGTCGACCTTTTCTAACCCCACCCCTCCTTGTGGGAAGGCAGCATCGCTGTCATGCTGGTTGTCTGAGGGAAACACCTTACTGCTGTCACACCCCTCTACAGTCAGCAGTACGACTTCGCCCTCAGACCTTGATTTGCCGCTTTTAGTCTTACCGTTCTCCAATCGACCTTCCTGGCATGGTAGAACCTACAGGAACATATGTTCCAGCCAATATAGCTCGGTTGGGTCATCACGATAGGCAAGCCCGACCACCGCGTCAAGGTAGCAGCTTCGGTCGGGGAACAAACATGTAATGAGAATCATTTTGAGTGAAAAAGCACAATTTATCATACAATATAACTGTCCAAACTAGAAAAAAACTATAAAAATTTCTGGTAAACATGAATTTAACTCTCCATGGTACTATTGACCACTAATGAGGTAAGACCTGCACCTAATTGACCTGAACACTAGACTTCCATATATATGATTTATAAGAATAAACTGCTCCACCTGATTTGGCTCGATTACTTGGATAATAACTTTAGCCGTCGAACAGTAAATGTGACTTAAAACTACGAAGCTGTGTTTAATTAGTAGGATTGTATTATTAAATCATAATTTGTATCGAGTGAGATTTTTAACCTTAAAAATCTGACATGTCACGACGGTATTATGTCACCTATGATGAAACGAGTAAAGTTGGAAATCATAAATACGTGGTTGAAATAATAATTCATCATCTGAGTGTTTTGTTACATGCGACTTAATATTCCTCTATTAGATACTGTAATTATTCATTACACCAACAATGTACACGATTAAATACCAAAAACATAGAGTTTAATTAGACATAAAAACTTATTGCCATAACCAGATAATCAGCTGAATATATTAAGCTATAATAACATCTTTCAACATATAATCATGAAAGATTGATACTATAACTGTCACATTATCGCAATTTTAAAACTAACCTTTGTGCACCGATCTGCTGAAGCGAATGGACGAATATCCCACATACGTAATGTGTTGTCCATGGAGTTAGAAAGTAAAAACGACCCATCTGGACTTACTGACAAACCAGTAACTGTGTCCGTATGTCCATTAAGTAGCATGCTAGCTTCCAATTTTCGTAAATCCCAACCTTTAACAACATTGTCTATGCCCCCGGAAAATATCATTTCAGCAGTATCACTAAAAGTAACTGAAAGAACCTAATGAAATATATAAAAAGGTTTAAATAAGACTGATCAATCGAAAGTATACTAATATATGTTAAACGTATTCGATTCAAATCATAGAAAAGAATGATACTCTGTTTACTTAAACAATTACATGATCTGAGTAATTAAAACAAGCTTCACAGAGTATAGAAATTACGAGAAATATAATGTTAGTAGGATTTTTCATTTCTTTTTATGGATTGCTTATATTGAACTGATCGACACCAGAAAGGATAACAACCACTTCATAATAATTCTCAATAGTCCAGTTTTCTTTATGATATAATTGCCGGATTAACAACCAGTGATGGAATCCAAGACTCAAAGTTCATTCTGTAAGCAGCTCTTCACGCGAATACAAGTGAATCCTAATAAGTATTAGTATTTTTTAAAATCATTCAGTGCGACAAACAAATCAACTACAGTAAAATAGTAGGATAGAATAGATCAAATACGCTAAAACTACAAAAATAGTGATTCTTAATTTTAGTGCATATAACTTCAAACTAGAATATTGTCGTATACAGTGATCTTAAAACTAAGTACTTTTAAAATAATTTGTACATTGAATTTGTCACAAATTGATTTCAATTAAGATACCACAGAAAACTAGGAAGTACTGGACATTTGTTTTATCTTAGCATGAAACTTCTTGGCAGTGCCCACCAACAATCCGACAAGTGGTCGAACTCATGATTTTCCAGCCTTGAGCCAAACATGCTTAATCACCATTAGAAACACTAGGTCGAGGTCGAATTGTCTAAAATATAGGAATCTCGATCATTTTAGACTATTGAGAATATAGCCAAGCCGTTCATTTTGGTGATGCTATAAAAAATTACTCTATATAAATAATTTATAAAAACTAATAGGCTCTAAAAACCTCATTACTCTATGAGGTAAATTGGACTTCATAAAACAAAAATAATACCAAATGAATTGTGGTTAACAGCTACTTTGCAAAACTGTAGCATGAAAATAAAATGTATATGTATTTCTAGTGCAGAAGACATTAGAATACTATAATTGATGGTTGAAATAAGACCTAAGTGTCTAGTTAACAGTTGGATCTATTAAATTAACTAGTGAAGTATATCGATGATTATTTAATAATATCTTGCATTGCCAAGTGATTAGCATTAAGATTTTCCTATAAACTGTGAAGAATGTTCCGAAATAAGCACTTTGCCCACTAAGTTTCTTCAAGATATTTTAACGAATAATCTAGCGGTATTTATATTTTGATTAAGATCATGAACCGGTCAATGTTAGACCACCATTAAAAAACCTGGAAATATTGGATGACCGTTTCTATCTAGCATGTGACACCATATAAGCATAGTGTAAAAGTCACTACATGAAACACCAGAATCAAAAATTCGTCGTAATTATGATGAAAACAACAAACTAGATATTAAGCTCAACGATAACATAAATTATGGGACTAGAATTTGAGGCGATAATAACTAGATTTGTAACCAAAGATTTTTAACGTAACCTAACCTGATATGTGTTTTGAAATGTTTGTACACAGGTTTTTTGTCGCCGATCCCACAGACGAATTGTCCCATCATCCGAACCGGAACACACATGTTGAGGACCACGTCTGGCAACTGCACATGAATTAACAATGTTCTCATGACCTCTGAACTTTTTAATGCGTTGGGCACTTTCAGTATCCCATAAGGCGATAGATTTATCTGAACTGGCAGTATAGATGACGGAATCATCTGAAGAAAGCACTAAATCCAAAATAGCACCCCCATGACCTGAGAAAAGGTAGAAAAAAGATGGAAACTGAATGAACTGTACTAGAACATACGGTAGAAGATAAAGTGGTGTAAAGAGAAAGACACTATACATACTGATCAATCAATATTTTTTAACAATTAAGTCAAAGTGACAAACAGATGAGAGCTATAAGGTTTATTTGGGAAGTATCTAATAAAATAGGTTTTTGTTTCTAAATAATTTCATCTGATAAGTATAAATAGTTCTTCCTCCGAAACCCCCTGGTAAGGTCGAGAGTAGGAAGAGTCCGCTCTCCCTCTCAAAATCCTCTCATATGGCCATTCATATACAGCCAATGACAGGGAGGTCCTACTCACTGTTGTTTACGAAATTCAGAGGAAAAAAGTGAATGTCTGACACCCAAAACAGATTAATGAGCATGGAGGACCCACCTAGGGGAGTTGGAAAACCCTAATCCCAACCGAATAATGCACACAGGCTCCAGGATCTTGAGGGAACAAATGGTATATAAACCTATCGCTGGTCACCGGCTATCATGGGACTACATCTTCTATCGTTGCTCCACTGCCTTGTGGATTATATCTTTAGATCGAAGACCCAGAGAGTGACTCCCTAAGAAAACCACCTGCTTCGGTTTGAGCACCCGGACACCATCTCAGCCCACACAAAAATTCAATTATATGTGTGGCGCGTATATATTTTGGTGACCCTTTGTAGCAATGTTTGTGTTTGAATAATAATAACAATAGGAAGAAGAAAAAGAAGAATAGTCTGATTCTTAAAACTTCGGGAATACTCACCATGCATAAACAGTGATAGACATAGGGAGCCCTAATATTCGTCTTGACAATTACATCTTGCTGTCCCAATCGAGTGAAGTAACTTGAACCAATTAACATAAGTTCCCGATTCTACGTTTCATATGACTGACTAATTTCCAAGGAACTGTATTACAATAACTTCTCACCAACAGGTTACATGTCTAGCTGATTACCGTGAGTTTAGTGTCATATACTGAAATAGCCTTTTTGCTGTAGTAAGAGGGTTAGAGAAGAAGAAAATAGTAGTCTCATTTGCTACACTGAAATCAAGGTTGCGAAATATTAGCGTAGTGAACGAACTGATCATACATAAGCACCTTCAAAACTTTCTTACAATTCGAATTTACTTTTTATGTACTTCAGTAATGACTTCGCTTTAACGCTTAATTGTTTCATCATATCTTCAAATATACATAAAACAAACTATTACAACTGCTTTTGGAGTAAATAAACGAAACCGAAAATCAAGTCACCCTAATTGTTTTAAGAAATATGATAGCAGTAAGAACCAATCTCACGCACACTATGAAAACTCTGTTAAACAGGCCTCCATAAACCAATATAGAGCTTGGTACGATTGTATCAGCCCGTTCCCACACCATACTATCACCGAGAGAAATCGACAAGTAGTCGAAATAACAGTAGTATCAATTATTACGAAGATCAAACATTGAGTATGGTTTGAAGAGAAAGGCTAGTGAACTCGAGGGATAAAAAGTATGAAATAATATTGAAGTGCTGGTATTCATAATATACTGGTAACAATAATATACTAACAAACAGTCCATTTATTAATGAGAAATATAACCTTCCTGATTCTTGTCTAGATTAAACAGTAAAGTTTAAACCATTACTATGATATAATGATAACTGAAACGTGATTAGTCCTTTGATGTACGAGACAAAAAAAATCAAATATTTAACGACTTGATATTTTTCGATCTCTTTACTGATATTTTTATTATCCTGTTATTATGTATGTGTGGTATATATGTGTAGTATTATTATTACTATTATATGGTGGTAGTAGTAGTAGTGTGGCGTATGCTACTTATGCTGACAGATATAAGTAGTATGTAGCCACAAACGAGAGTGGAGTGCCTGGAAGCAGAAGATTGAAGTGAAGAGAACAGAAATGAAATCGGAAAATAGTCGAAATAACAACAGAATTAGAAGAATAATCGAGTACGTAAAGGGCAATGCAAAAAAAACGTACAAATTATGTACTTAATAGATGGTTTTCATATTTTACGGAAACACTGTCATTTTGCATAAGGAATAAATTTGTTTTCCTCATCTGAGTTCTCGTTCATAAGAGCATTAGTAGCTTTTATCAGATTTCTAAATTACCGGAAATTAAAACTGTATGTTTCCTGAAGAACATTCGTAGATAAACAGCAACGGATTACATATTTAACGTTTCTTATTAACCCTTTTGTAAAACTGAACCAACCCTATGTTTACAAGTAGAAGCGATTTTTCCTAGTACATACAGATAACATCTCACTAAGAAATATTTATAGGAGTAAAACATCGGCAAAGATATCCAACTTTTAACTTTATAGCTATAGATTCAAGAAATGCTTTAAATACAGTGGTGTGAAATGTGAGATCATTTAACCCTTTTAAATGAATGTGACGTGTAACCAGTCAATCAGCTACAACGCAGGACCAAGCACATATATACATCGGTCCAAATTGTCATACCTCATTAGCACAAGATGAACACCAAATTCATAGTAGTAATGTATAAAATAAAGAGATTGCATATAAGGATGTAGTACAGAAAGAAAGAACTAGTTCGTAGAATTTTTTATTTATTTCAACACATAGATATTGGTACAAAGAGGCACCAAATACATATGCGCCACACAAATCTCATTCGACATGTGTGAGGGCTGTGATACTGCCCGGGTGCCCAAACCGAAGCAGGTGGTTTCCTTAGGGGGCCACTCCCCGAGCCTTCGGCCTGAAGGTCTGATCCACAAGGCAGTGGAGTATCGTAAGGAGATGCAGTCCCATGGAAGCTGTGGAAACAGCAATGAAATCTATTAGTGACTTAAACCACAGAGTTACAAAGAACCAGTGGATTTCTTCAAAGTCTATCACACTGATGGATTCTCGCAAACTCGTCCCATCAGGTTCCGAACATGATGAAGAGCGACAACAAATCAGATCTAGGTTAAGAAAAAGTCTAAGAAACGACAGTGAGTAGTGGTGGGCACCGAAAGCAAAAGAGATGGAAAGGGCGGCAGCTATAGGGAACACAAGACAGCTCTACAGACTAATAAAAGAAACTGGAACTAATAAGTCAAGTGTAAGTGAGATTATTTCGGAAAAGGACGATACTCTTATCTACTCCCAGTCCAGACGTTTAGAACGATGGGTGGAACACTTTAGGGAACAGTTCAGCTGGCCTTCAGCGACTCTACAACTACCCTCCATTCCCAGACAGTGTGAATGGAACATTGAAGTAGGTCCCCCAACTCTAGCAGAAGTTCAAAAGGCTATAGTTAATCTGAAACGAGGGACGGCAGCTGGTCCGGATGGATTGGCCCCAGAAGTCTTTAAGGACGGTGGTCCAATTTTAGCGGTTAGGATGACTAATATTTTAGCTAAGATCTGGGAATTAGACGCTATCCCATCTGACTGGTCGCAATCACTTATCGCCCCAATATATAAGAAAGGGTCAAAATCATCCTGTGACAACCACAGAGGGATTAGTTTAACTAATATATTATCTAAAATACTAGCCTCGATAATTATCAAACGCCTAACTAAGACTCGTGAACTACAAACACGAGAAAACCAAGCTGGCTTCAGACCTGGTAGTGGCTGCATCGACCACATATTCACCATTCGTCAGGTTCTAGAACACAGGCATACTTATCGGCGTCCGACAATGGTGGTCTTTCTTGACTTAAAAGCAGCATTTGACTCGGTAGACCGCGAGATTCTGTGGCAGTGTCTGTCATCGAAAGGCGTACCTCAGAAGTACATAAACCTCGTAAAGGCTCTTTACTCGAACACTACTAGTCGAGTCAGAGCTTATGGCCAACTGTCATCTAGTTTTGCAGCATCAAGTCGTGTCCGTCAAGGATATCCACTTTCTCCATTTCTGTTTAACTTCATCATAGACCTATTGATGGAAATAACATTCTCGTCGGCTGAATTCTCGGGTTTTGATCTCCTACCAGGAGGTCAACTTATCGACTTAGAATACGCAGATGACATAGTCCTGTTTGGTGAAGACGCTGACAAAATTTAGAATCTTCTGGTAGCACTAAGCAACAATGCCAGAATGCTTGGAATGCGCTTCTCTCCCTCTAAATGCAAGTTGTTGCTTCAGGACTGGTCTGTGTTAACACCTGAACTAAGGATAGGGAGTGAATTAGTCGAACGCGTTGACAACTTCACTTATCTTGGACGTCTGATCAGCCCTAATGGGTTGGTATCGGACGAAATCTCAGCACGGATTCGAAAAGCTCGTTTGGCTTTTGCCAACTTACGTCACCTTTGGCGAAGGCGAGATATCCGTCTATCAATAAAAGGACGAGTATACTGCGCGGCAGTCCGTTCTGTCTTACTTTACGGCAGCGAAACATGGCCTTTAAGAGTAGAAGACACTCGTAAGCTACTAGTATTTGACTACAGATGCCTTAGAAATATTACTGGCATCTGCTGGGATCACCGGGTAAATAATAGTGAGGTTAGACTCAGGGTATTAGGTAATGATGGTAAATCAGTTGATGGGGTTGTTAATCTTCATCGACTGAGATGGTTGGGCCACGTGTTACGTATGCCTGAACACCGATTACCACGTCGTGCAATGCTAACAGGTGTTAGAGATGGTTGGAAGAGAATTAGAGGCGGCCAAACGAAAACGTGGCATCAGTGCTTGAAGACACTAACCTCTAGTCTGAGCCACTCCTATGAATCCGGTGTTCAACTTGCTGTGCTAATGAGGTATGGCAACCTGGACCGATGCATATATGTGCCTGGCCCTAGGTTGTAGCTGACTGACTGATGGAAGCCGGTGACCAACAATTGATTCATACACCATTTGTTCCCGCAGGATACTGGAGCCCATGTGCACCACTGATTTTTTTGGAATCCAGTTAAAGCGCCGGACATTCGCTTTTCGTCCTCTCATTTTCGTAAACAACACCCCCGCCACGAGAAGGCAGTGAGTAGGACTTCCCTGGCAGAGGCCATATACGCGTGGCCATGTGAGAGCATTTCGTAGAAAGTAAGATAGAAAGCAATTTTAATTTCACAATTTAATGGAAGACAGAGTGTATACACCTACGCGCTCGATTCCGAGCCATGTCATCCACAGTCTCCAACCATTGGTTACGACAGACAGGTAGACCCCAAACAAGTAGTCTGCATCTACCAACATGGCTTAAACCAGAAGTTAATGACTTCAAGCATTAATGCCATGTTTTGGTTTGGCCGCCCCTAATTTTCTTTCAACCGTCTCCAACACTAGTCAGCATTGCGTGTCGTGGTAATCGGTGTTTGGGCATACGTAACACGTGGCCCAACTATCTTAGTCGGTGAAGAATTACCTCATCGACTGATTTACCATCATTAGGGGATGATGGTGACATACAGACTAACGCACATACCTGCACTAGGTTAGATTATTTAATATTCATCTTTGCCAAAAAAAATTAACATACCCATCATCGTTGCAATATTTTCGCATTCACCATACGTCTCCCATAATAGTATCCGGTGATCAAATCCAGCACTTGCGAGAAACGATCCATCAGAAGAAAATTTGCCACAATACACTTCACTTTCATGACCATTTAAAAGCATATTAGGTGACAGTAAACTTGATGTACGGGGAATACTTCCCGCCTGTCCTGCTGGTATGATCTGGGAATTTAACTTGTACATCCCATTGCCAAATGGGGTGACTCCCAAACTTGAACCATCTTTTCGAGGTTTCTTGCTAGGCAAAGGAACCATCGACATTGAGGTTACTCCAGCCAAAGGTCTTTTGAAGTCCATTCTGGCCGCTTATAAGCCTGTAAACAATGTATTACGGAAGTAGTGTTGAATAAAAACGAAAATAACAAGAAGCAACCTAAATAACAGCTGTCCCAAATTTTAAATAAAATATGCAATATACAAACAAGCTTATTTATTCAGTAGGAACTACCAGCCTTAAAATGAGTCAAATAAGAAAACAAACGTTTAACACTGATGTCATGTTGGGGTTCACTTTTAAACAAGTATTTAAAATTCACCTCTAATAATGATATCCGTAACTTTGAAGACCCATTTCCTTAGAAAGGGTAACACCTATCCATTCACAAACATAGAAGCACTATGTATTAAAAGAAACTCCGCCTGGAGTCCCTCCAGGGGCTACTGCCGGTCCCAAGCCCGGATAAAGGAGGAGGGTTGGGTATGGGGTCAGCGTCCCCATTCCATGGAAAACTAACTCGCTAAAAAAACGCCAACCAGAAAAAATTATTCAAACCTTTTAACCTCTGCCCTGGGAGTCAGAAGGTCTTCATTTAGAAGAACTATGACGCCTCATGATGAAAGCCGAATTCCTTCGGAAGTCACGGGGCCGATGCCCCTTCTGACAACCAGAGCGACCGTTTATTTAGGTACATGGAATGTTCGTACAATGTGGGACACCGGGAGAGCCCTCCAAATTGCTGCAGAAATGAGAAGATACAACCTAGAGGTACTTGGGATCAGTGAAACACATTGGACGCAAGTTGAACAACAACGACTAACTTCAGGAGAGCTTCTGTTATACTCCGGCCACGAAGAAGAAAATGCCCCACATACACAAGGAGTTGCATTGATGCTGTCCAAACAAGCACAAAATGCACTTATAAGATGGGAATCTCATGGACCAAAGATCATCAAAGCCTTCTTCAAAACAAAGAAAGAGGGCATTTCAATGAACATCATCCAATGCTATACGCCTACCAACAATTACAATGAAGACGCTATGCTGCAGTCAATCATCGAGAAGTGCCCAACAAAGGACCTTACCATTCTGATGGGAGACTTCAATGCCAAGGTTGGAACGGACAACACTGGATACGAAGACATCATGGGACGACACGGACTGGGAGAAAGAAACGAAAATGGTGAGAGATTTGCAAACCTATGTGCCTTCAATAAACTGGTCATAGGCGGCACCATATTCCCACATAAACGCATTCACAAAACCACATGGACTTCACCGGATCACACCACGAAAGACCAAATCGATCATATTTGCATCAACAGATCGTTCAGGAGGACTATAGAGGACGTGAGAACCAAGAGAGGAGCTGATATAGCATCAGATCATCACTTGCTGGTCACCAAGATGAAATTGAAACTCAAGAAGCACTGGACAATGGGGCGGACAATATCACAAAAGTTCAATACGGCCTTTCTTCAGGATACTAACAAACTCAACAAATTCAAGATAGTTCTCAACATCATTTTATTTTATTTATTTATTTTAACACATAAATATTGGTACAAGAGAGCGCTAATATATATGCGCCAACATCAAGTTCCAGGCCTTTCATGATCTACTCAATGGAGAAGGAACTACTGTGGAGAGCAACTGGAAAAGGATCAAAGAGGCAATCACTTCAACATGTCATGAGGTCCTGGGTCACAAGAAGCACCATCACAAGGAATGGATCACTGTTGATACACTGGATAAGATTCAAGAAAGGAGGAACAAGAAAGCAGCAATCAATACCAGCCGAACAAGAGCAGAAAAAGCCAAGGCACAAGCTGAATACACAGTAGTAAACAAACAAGTGAAGAAGAGCATCAGAACCGACAAACGTAAATATGTGGAAGATCTAGCAAAGACGGCGGAAAAGGCTGCAAGAGAAGGGAACATGAGACAACTGTATGACATAACAAAGAAACTCTCTGGAAGTCGCCGCAAACCAGAACGACCAGTGAAAAGCAAGGAAGGCGAGGTAATCACCAACATTGAAGAGCAACAAAACAGGTGGGTAGAACACTTCAAAGAACTCTTGAATCGACCAGCTCCACTGAACCCACCCAACATCGAAGCGGCACCCACGGACCTCCCAATCAACGTTGGCCCACCAACAACTGAAGAAATCAGCATGGCCATCAGACAAATCAAGAGTGGCAAAGCAGCAAGACCAGACAACATTCCAGCAGAGGCACTAAAAGAAGACGTAGCGGCAACTGCAAGGATACTCCACATTCTCTTCAATAAGATTTGGGATGAGGAACAAGTACCAACAGACTGGAAAGAAGGACTCCTGATAAAAATACCGAAGAAAGGCGATCTCAGCAAGTGTGATAACTACAGGGGCATCACTCTTCTCTCAATACCGGGAAAAGTCTTCAACAGGGTATTGCTAAACAGGATGAAGGACTGCGTAGACGCCCAACTTCGTGAACAACAGGCAGGATTCCGTAAGGATAGATCGTGTACAGACCAAATCGCAACTCTACAGATCATTGTGGAACAATCAATAGAATGAAATTCATCACTCTACATCAACTTCATTTACTACGAAAAAGCACTTGACAGCGTGGACAGGACAACACTATGGAAGCTTCTTCGACACTACGGCGTGCCTCAGAAGATAGTCAATATCATACAGAATTCATATGATGGATTAAACTGCGAAATCGTGCATGGAGGACAGTTGACAAAGTCGTTCGAGGTAAAGACCGGTGTCAGGCAAGGTTGCTTACTCTCACCCTTTCTCTTTCTCCTGGTGATCGACTGGATCATGAAGACGTCAACATCTGAAGGGAAACACGGGATACAATGGACATCTAGGATGCGATTGGACGATCTAGACTTCGCAGATGATCTGGCCCTTCTATCCCAAACGCAACAACAAATGCAGGAGAAGACGAACAGTGTAGCAGCAGCAGCAACAGCAGCAACAGGTCTCAATATACACAAAGGGAAGAGCAAGGTTCTCCGATACAACACAGCATGCACCAATTCAATCACAATTGACGGAGAAGATTTGGAAGATGTAAAAACCTTTACATATATGGGCAGCATCATTGAAGAACATGGTGGATCTGATGCAGATGTGAAGGCGCGAATCGGCAAAGCAAGAGCAGCATATTTACAACTGAGGAACGTCTGGAACTCAAAGCAACTGTCAACCAACACCAAAGTTAGGATTTGCAATACAAATATCAAGACAGTTCTACTGTATGAGGCGGAAACCTGGAGAACTACGAAAGCAATCACGCAGAAAATACATGTGTTTATCAACAGTTGTCTACGCAAAATACTTCAGATCCGTTGGCCGGACACTATTAGCAACAACCTACTGTGGGAGAGAACAAACCAGATCCCAGCGGAGGAAGAAATCAGGGAGAAGCGCTGGAAGTGGATAGGACACACATTGAGGAAAGCACCTAACTGAGTCACAAGGCAAGCCCTCATATGGAATCCTCAAGGCCAAAGGAAAAGAGGAAGACCAAAGAACACATTACGCCAGGAAATGGAAATAGACATGAGAAAAATGAACAAGAATTGGGTGGAACTAGAAAAGAAGGCTCGGGACAGAGTGGGTTGAAGAATGCTGGTCGGCGACCTATGCTCCATTGAGAGTAACAGGCGTAAGTAAGTAAGTAATGTATTAAGAGAAACATCACTTATCAACTTTGTCAGTAGCTTAGTGGTTAAAGCGCTAGAATTATAACCATTAGATTACTAGTTAGAACTTACGTCTACTCCATTTACTTTGTGGAGCCTAGTAATATCAACTCTCAAGTGTGCGGTGTGGCACAAAACCAGATATATCAACGTGTACCTAGTACCCCCAATACCGAATAAGTTTACAGTTAGTGTTGAAATCATGAAAGGATCTAGGTTAGACAATCTTTGAAAACTTGGAAGTACTGGGTGGTCGTTTCGTCCTGGTCTGGGTCTCATCAGAAGTGCGCACCCACCGCCCCATACGCAAGATTCGGACACAGGGTTTTCAGTCTCGTACGGACGCTTAGTCTCTAGACCACTGAGTTGGCATCCGACAGTTTTAACATCTAACCTCAATCAATCCACGATATTGCACGAGCATCTTCTATTGCCTTCGATGGGTAACTGCCTCGCACCTGATAAGGTTAAGCTCCAATGGTCACGGCTTCTTACTAGAACTCTGTGAATTACCTCTCAAAGCTAGTCACTAGTGAGCATACGATAATTTTCAGTTCGAGATTGTGTAGATTGTTTAATTTCATTGAAATCATGAACCGATTATTGTTAGACTACCATTGGCTTAAGCATTTGCTCGAGACCGGAGGTCCAAGAGTTCGAATCCCGCATGTGAGACCGTGGATAAGTACTACCAGGGATTCCCATTCAGTGCTTCCTGGTTTTCGGTAGTGGTATAACTTGGGTTGGTTCATGATTTCAACAAAATCCAACAATCTCCACAACCCCAAACTTAAATTTAATTCTTGGTATAAGAAAATTTTCAAATTTCAACCGATGCGTAACAAATTTAAATCTATTTTTCCATTTCAGTATAACTCGTATCGTCAGTCGTCATTCGAAAATTGCACTCCTAAATGCCTTGATTCAATATCCAACTTTTAACCACTGAGTCAGCCTACTTCTGGTCATAAACAAACGCAGGGCTTTGGAATAAGGTTGTTACATTTCCAATTACAACGAAAAAAAAATATAGGATGAAAGGCGAAGGAGTGGTAATGGAGGTATTAACTAGTTAGTACAGAAGCTGAGATGAAAAAATAAGGACTGTCGAGTGACAATAATTTCAAAGTTTAGAGGAAGGTAAACAATGAATCTATAGTGGCAACTTCGAGAAATGACATCTAATGTCTGCAACGAGTGAACACAATATTTTCACGAAACCCAAATAAGCCTACATCACCCGATTTAACCCAGACTATAGAATTACGTCACGACTTGGTCTGGTAGCCCTTAGCTATCTCCCAAACTACTTTTAGTTTACTTACCAAAGCACATAGACAATGGGTGAGGATAAATAACCCATGTGCTGATAGCGTGGACTATTAAAAGTCCCAAGACTCATCAATCGATCTATCATCTGTAATTAGTACTCAATGTCGAACCAAGATGTGGTCAAGACCTTCAGATACTTTATTCCCTGTGACCAAATTAAACACTGGCGAAGGTCGACGCTGAAACAATATTTTGATTTTCCACTAGGAAACATTCTTCAGTTGTCGCTCAAGGGATTCAGCAAGTTACAGTTTTCCAGTGTCCTTACCAAACAGAGTTCTAAGCTGATGATTGAATTTCTAGATTAGATTTTAATCCATAAGATGTTTGACGTTGTTATCGCTACAAATATATCTACGACAAAACTAAAGAAATTGACTAAAACATAATGAATAATTGAAACGGCAGGTAAGCAAAAGCCTTGGCATGATCAGTAATGTTTTATTTTATCTTGCTTTTGTTGATTTTATCTTATTATGTTAATTTAAAGACTGACACCTTATATTGATTCACTTCTATGGAGACTTCTTTATTGTCTATATATTACCAACAAATTTTCGTAAGGAGTAAATGTTGATACTACTCGATCGACTTGATTCAGTGATCGTATGGGTCAAGAAACATGCTCAATCTAGAATGCTGGATAATATGTCTGCATTTCGTTAACTGATAGGTTCTAACAATACACTCGACTGGGACCGAGAACCTCTGAATTCCCCGAATTTTCCAAGTCGATATTAAACGGTTAATAATCATGACAGCTAAGACGGTAAAGGGAATTAATTCCCTTGTAGATAGTTCCAAGCGATGTCACTCACGATCTGGGAGTGTTTATAATGAAACTACTATTTTAATAGGTGACGAAATCAACTCATCTTGTTTTAAACTATGGTACTGTCCCAGTTCCCACACCGAAGCAGGTGGTTTTCTTAGGGAGTCACTCTCTGGGTCTTCGATCTAAAGATATAATCCACAAGGCAGTGGAGCAACGATAGAAGATGTAGTCCCATGATAGCCGGTGACCAGCGATAGGTTTATATACCATTTGTTCCCTCAAGATCCTGGAGCCTGTGTGCATTATTCGGTTGGGATTAGGGTTTTCCAACTCCCCTAGGTGGGTCCTCCATGCTCATTAATCTGTTTTGGGTGTCAGACATTCACTTTTTTCCTCTGAATTTCGTAAACAACAGTGAGTAGGACCTCCCTGTCATTGGCTGTATATGAATGGCCATATGAGAGCATTTTGAGAGGGAGAACGGACATTCATAACCGTCGGCCGTACCAGGGCATTTGGCGTCGAAATAAGTGGTAAATCTGAGTCAGCCCTTGAAACATCTGATTCGGCCACTATTCTTAAGGGGGCGATCTTCTAGCTTTACATGATTCATTCGTACAAAAGACTTGCGATTAACAGAATATTTGGTACCTTAAGAAAGAAACTGGATATCGCTAAAATACTAACCACACACCGATATTTGTCTATAATCCAACAACACCAAATTTTACAAAACGTATTTTTGACTGAAATTTTAGAAGGTATCTATGCCCCCATGTGTACTAACTTAGGTGGAAATATCTAGGATTTAACACCAAAATGATGCAAACAATCCCAACCACTTAACCAACTACAGACAGTTTTAAGACAGATTTACTTTGTACAACAAACCTCCTGATAGCAACAAATAGATGGACGAAGTTATTTAAAAATGGAAACTCGATAGATATCGCCTAGATGGACTTAAGTAAAGCATTTGACAAGGCAACACATAAAAGACAACTATCAAGGCTCGGAATGTTAGGAATTTCAGGACCTCTGCTAAAGTAAACCGAAGACTGGCAGGTTCTAGGTCCCTTGCTGTTAATACTTTATGGACATGAACTTCCGCGTATCGTTAAATTCTTGTTGCTACTTTGCACTGATGATACCAAAATTTGCTGAAAAGTAGGTACCAACGTACGTGTGCTTAGAGTAAACCTATTCATTTATGCGGAGGTGAATCCACTCTTTGTGTTCTCCCAAATTTTGACCTCCTTATTCTTCCTTGTCTCTTTTTCTCTTCCCAAATTTATTTCACTGTATTATACTCTTTAAATAACATCTCCAAACACTAATCTTCCCGATTACTGCTTATACTCTTATTACCTCTACCACTACGGGATTTGAATTGACCACTGCATCTCTGTGCTAATGTGCTGTGGCAACTCGAACTGATGTACGTACGTACGATGTTCTACGTTGATACTGACTGACTGACTTATGCCAATCAACAGATCCAAACGTGTTTACATGCACAGTGAACAAGCTAATGTAAATAACTACAATAAAGGAGAAAGATTAGTGCCATTAAATTTGTTTTTTACAAATATCTAGGGTCCATAGTAAGTCATGACAGTAAGAAAACAGTTTAACACCATCTAACTGCAACTAAATGATTACGAGCCTTGTGTGGGTTACGAAGAACATTCACCAGATTAAATATAAGCGTTCTAGCCACGGCGTACATATTTCTGGTGAGACCCCGAATAAAACCGAGTTAAGGTAGCAAAGACAACTTTAGAGAGCTACTCACATATCCTGAATATTTTTCGATAAATCCTTATGTGATTCCAGAATTTCAAGGCCTGTCACACGATGCAGTTTAAAAGTTAAACCTTTATTTCATCTCACTGCAGATCGAGGTTTTGATTATGTATAGGATATTAAGAAATGAATTTAAACTTGATGTTTTTTCTTTAAGTTAGTTCAGGAAAACGAACGAAAAAAAATCCCCTTGCAACACAGATGTAGTGTACTTTTAGGACCCATTACTGTAAATGATATCCTTACCCAAAATTGATTGGTTCCACGAAAAGTATAAAATATTGACATAGTCCTACCGGGAAATGCTTAACATAGTGTTGGCTTTCTGTCCTTAACACACAAACCTCAATCTGAATATAACCTCAAATTGAATTCAAATGATCAAAAATTAAAAAATACTACAGTGCCTAGCGACTAGTCACACACACTCCATGGTTTATTATTGCCAGAAAATAGAGCTGACATAAATGTTTACAGTACTTAGTTTTTGGTTCCAAGTCTAAATGTCAATCTTTAGAATTTATTAAAATAATGTACTGAGAAAAAACCTTTCTAGTGAGCTCACTAATAAAAGTACTAGTCCCTAAATATTTCTGAATATTTTCAGGATGACTGAACATATTTTTAGGATCGAATATGAGAAACAAATATAAACAACCCAGACAATTTGAGCTTTCAATTGGATCATCAACCTGGTGCTATAGACTAACAATTATTTATATCTATCAACAACAATAGTGTGTATTATCAACAGGAATACTTTTAAGCCTGATATAAGGTGGTGGCATGTCGTTGTTTCTAAGTTAACACGGGAAAACTCACCCGGCCCGGACACTGAAGATTGACAGATTGATAGCTCTTTCTTGATTCGGTGGATGGTGGTGCATGGCCGTTTTTAGTTGGTGGAGCAACTTGTCTGGTTAATTCCGATAACGAACGAGACTTTAACCTGCTAAATAGTAGACTGGTCCTCTGTGCTCGTTCACGTCACGATTTTACTCATGTGATTTGTTGCATGAACCGATCATTTGAGAGGACATTCGAAGAAAGTTCAAAAACCGAGATCAAACCGTTTACGTCTGGAGTTCCGTTTCTCGCACCGAGTAATGAATTACTGGAATTCTCTACCGGAACACGTAATATCAGCACCATCTGTTAATATATTCAAAACGAGATTGAACCTCCACTGTATTACAAACTGCAAGGATTAATATAGGTCGACAGACCTCCTATCCTTATTACTGAAGACTGAAGGGCGCGGCTTCTATAGCTTCTTTATGGAGTAGTGTGGTCGTGATCCGGCGAGTGCGGTGCCAGTTTTTACTTCTTAGAGGGACAAGCGGCACACTTAAGTCACACGAAATTGAGCAATTGAGTAATAACAGTCACACACACACGTTTATTACATTTTCACAGTACCTAATAGTTTTAAACTCATGAACGACAACACGAATTCCTACGTTATGAAAAAAGCAAGTACTAGATACGATTAACCTTAATCGGTATAAAAAAATAGAAATTATGCTTAGGACGTGGCCACACTTCGCTTACCTATTCCGGTTACTGTAGCGCAACTACCCAAAACTACAATTGCAGCAACGTTCAATATCTAATGTAATCGCAACTAGATGACCTAAATCAAATGATTTTGGTTAAAAATGTCTACCCAAGAGGATCCATTAACGTTTAATATAAGTTAACAATTAAGGAAATACATGTGAGCTATTTAGAATGGACTTTGATATTTTCACTACATTCTGGCTATTTTTTATTGGTCTGTACTGTTAAACAAACCCTTTAAGTAATTTTTTGTTTCAGCATAGGGTTTTGTAGATTAATGAGTAGAGAAGACAAGAGCACTATTTAAAAGGGACAGAGTTAATTTTGTTGTTCTAACCATTTATTATGCATCAAGACTAACGTTTTCGCTTCGGTTGAATTTATGCCAGTCAAAGCAATCGCCGGGAGTATCTTTTATCAATAGGAAATTTATCATCTGTATTTTTGAGTACATTGGTTATTTCGTATTTGTCCGCACTCTTCATTCTGACAAGTTACATTTTTTCACTCTTTTTGGTCGTCAGTTTCTTTTGTCTCGGGGTATTGTTTGTGTCTAGTTTCCTTTTGAAAACCTTTGGCTCATGGCTTGACGGTGCAGTTTCCAAAGCCGAGGTTGTTGATACCCTGTGGAAAGTGACATGCAGTGCGATGAGTGCAAACGATGGTACCATGAAGTTTGCACGAATCCAACGCCTGAGGCCTTCAAGCGGTTTCGCAGGAATATATGTGTGTAGTTGTGTCAACAGTGCCGCTTGGACGCAAGCAGCTTGATATCCCAAGCCACTGTAATGGTGAATGCTGCTAAAAGGAGTACTAACAAGAGTAATCAGGACACATCAAGTGGTAGTCGTGCGGTTGATAAACAAATTGGTGGTCTCTCAAATAAACTTTATTAGCTTACACGGGCCGAAGGAGGAAGGACGGCCTATAGAGAGTCCTGTTAGAAATAAAAGCCCGCGAAAGGAACTTCTTTCTGTCAACGACCCTTCAAATGACAGCGCGCAAGAAACACCTAAGAAACCTTACCACCTGATTTTGAAAGTTTCAATTACATGAGAGCCGACGGAATCCAGAAGCGTAAAAGAGGAGTAGTGGCTCTGTTCATTAAAAATGCTAACCGATTCACCGTTATTGATAACACAACCCATGAAAGTGAGACATGTGAATGAGTTAGTTACCGCTTGAAGCAAAAAAGATAAGGGTTGCTAATTGGTTTGATCTACCGCAGTCCAAAGTGTGAGGTGAATAAGATCTTGCTAGATGGTTACAACTCTTGGTCATCAAGTGGTCGATGTTCAATCTTAGGGGACCTTAGTTCACCAACAGTAGACTGGAAAAATCTGAGGACTGAACTGCTGAAAAATTCTTTCGAACAGAAATTTGTTTCTGAGGTTATCACATGTGCAGTAATCCAACATGTGAAATGAGCAACAAGGTACAACCCGGACTCTGAACCATTGTTACCAGATCACACGTTGAACTATTATGAAGATAATGGCACAAACCATTACATGCCACCCCTAGGTATAAATGATCATGCAGCTCTAGTCTTTGATTTTCACAAGTTTGTCAATAGCAAACATGTATCTGCCCAAGCCACATCAAAGAAAATCGACAAAACACATCTTAGATTACTAGAAGGATTAGCGAAATTTTTCATGAGTTCCCTAGGCATAGTTCTCCATATATCTGTGATCCAGGGTCGATTAACAAACGACTGAATGAATGCCATAGTAATTTCTGTTTTAAAAACAGGTACGAAACACAAACCTTAGAACTAATGACACATAAGCCCAACTAGAGCGGTTGCTAAAACCTTGGAAAATATTATTAGCAAGAATTCTTTCAGAGAATTAGCATGGTCTTAGAATAGGTTTTTCATGTCATCCCAACTTGCTAGTGGCCCATGAAAGTTGGTACATTCTCAAATACCAAAAGTCACCTATAGACGTAGTCTACGATGACTTTGGAAAGACTTAAGTCGAAATTCCCCACAAATAGCCGTTATAAAAGTTAAGAAATATCAGGATTAGAGTCAATTTAGCAATGTACATAAAGAACCTCCTAGTTAGGTGTCAACAGAGAGTACGGATGAAATCAAGATGCATAACTGAAAAAATGTGCTTAGCGGAGTGCCTCAGAGCACAGTTTTGGGGCCAGTGTTTCCCTAAACTTGTATGAAAATGACCTTGCCAAACCCACATAATAATAGGTTCCGTTACATTCTGACGATGACAAAATATGGAGAGCGATAAAAACTAAAGTTAGTAGTTTAGAGTTTCAAAATGAAATACAGAAATTATCTGAATGGTCTAGAATTCGACAGTTCCCGATAAACACTCTCAAGTACATTAAGCTATCTGCTGTTCAACAAGATTCAAATAAATACGCGGTGAATAACATTGAGTTAACTATTGTCCAAACTCATAATGATATTACTTAAAAACTATCGCGCACTGCCGTGCGAAGACGGTCGACAGGTTCAGAACTCTGTATTACCATACGTCACGTAGATTACTTACTTACTTACGCCTGTTACTCTCAATGGAGCATAGGTCGCCGACCAGCATTCTTCAACCCACTCTGTCCCGAGCCTTCTTTTCTAGTTCCACCCAATTCTTGTTCATTTTTCTCATGTCTATTTCCATTTCCTGGCGTAATGTGTTCTTTGGTCTTCCTCTTTTCCTTTGGCCTTGAGGATTCCATATGGGGACTTGCCTTGTGACTCAGTTAGGTGCTTTCCTCAATGTGTGTCCTATCCACTTCCAGCGCTTCTCCCTGATTTCTTCCTCCGCTGGGATCTGGTTTGTTCTCTCCCACAGTAGGTTGTTGCTAATAGTGTCCGGCCAACGGATCTGAAGTATTTTGCGTAGACAACTGTTGATAAACACATGTATTTTCTGCGTGATTGCTTTCGTAGTTCTCCAGGTTTCCGCCTCATACAGTAGAACTGTCTTGATATTTGTATTGCAAATCCTAACTTTGGTGTTGGTTGACAGTTACTTTGAGTTCCAGACGTTCCTCAGTTGTAAATATGCTGCTCTTGCTTTGCCGATTCGCGCCTTCACATCTGCATCAGATCCACCATGTTCTTCAATGATGCTGCCCATATATGTAAAGGTTTTTACATCTTCCAAATCTTCTCCGTCAATTGTGATTGAATTGGTGCATGCTGTGTTGTATCGGAGAACCTTGCTCTTCCCTTTGTGTATATTGAGACCTGTTGCTGCTGTTGCTGCTGCTGCTACACTGTTCGTCTTCTCCTGCATTTGTTGTTGCGTTTGGGATAGAAGGGCCAGATCATCTGCGAAGTCTAGATCGTCCAATCGCATCCTAGATGTCCATTGTATCCCGTGTTTCCCTTCAGATGTTGACGTCTTCATGATCCAGTCGATCACCAGGAGAAAGAGAAAGGGTGAGAGTAAGCAACCTTGCCTGACACCGGTCTTTACCTCGAACGACTTTGTCAACTGTCCTCCATGCACGATTTCGCAGTTTAATCCATCATATGAATTCTGTATGATATTGACTATCTTCTGAGGCACGCCGTAGTGTCGAAGAAGCTTCCATAGTGTTGTCCTGTCCACGCTGTCAAGTGCTTTTTCGTAGTAAATGAAGTTGATGCAGAGTGATGAATTTCATTCTATTGATTGTTCCACAATGATCTGTAGAGTTGCGATTTAGTCTGTACACAAGGTTCAGAGAATCGCAAGTAAGCGGATTCGCGGAGTAGCAAAGCGGGTGATCTTATCCGCAACGCAACCATGTAAACTTAATGTACCGGTCATCTGTGCGTTCAAGTAACCACAGATTTTGACATTTCATAATGTATTTTTAATTAAATAACTAGATTATATAGCTAATTTTGATCTTTTTTTATATTTTTATTCGCCACGTTCGACTGCGTTACACTGCACGTCCATTGCATACTGGGATGATATTTCAAGTCATAGTGAGTTTATTCACATAGTTGATTGTTTCCAGATAGACTGTCAGTGCATGATTTTACTTTAGAAAGGTTTATTGTACTATAAACTATGTTTTTATGAACAACTACCTGTTGTTTTAAGTCGGAAAGCAATATATATATTCTTTGTCTTCTGTTCGGTAAGTTCAATTGGCCTACATTTCGTGTTTTTGTTTTATAGTCTTAATTATGTCCATTTAAATACTTTAAGCAATATGCCTGTGCAAATGAAACAATAACTATGACACTTGCTTAGTTTAGTATTCTTGGTTGTCGTATAATTCAGTTTAGTTGGAAGAATTATGGTATACTTAAGTAAAGTGCTTGAAGTCTGTAACGAAACAGATCAGTCTAGTAAGTAGAGTTGCCTATTTCTGATGAGTATACTAATTCAAATCAGTCTGATTAAAAATAGGAAAAAAGTGCTTTTGGTACTGTTGCTGTCATACATTATAAGATAGCGATAAGTATGTTTGTTTATTTCTAGATTGTACATCTATCACTGACCATATTTCATGATCACTGTCATTAAACAATTTCCCCAGCAATAACATCGGTAGCAGGATAGCTAAGTATCTGAGATTTTATTTGCCCGTAGAAGAGCAGTATACAGTCTTAGAAGATGAGTGTTCTGTATTTCAATTAAATGCAGTTGGCTGTGGACAAATGTTAAGAATCTTTTTGACAACTAGGACTTTTAGTTCATCAAACACTAACTCTGCTTGTATGTCTCCCTGTTAAACTAGATGCAGATACATGGTAATACTTAAATGAGAACAAAATAATAAAAGCATTGAGATACGGTATTGAGTCTATGTTACACTTTGCACAATAAATAGCTGACCTGACCTAATATTCATGAACTAAAGGTAAATCACAACTGCATAAATTCTTTGCTAAAATACATGTAATTTGGTTATTTATCTATTACACATTTCTGACTAAATTCATTACTGTTTTCTCATTTAGAATGCAACAGGACTGAGTCTTCACAGATGTTAAGAACTGTTTCGCCCTTAGAACTATGGCCCTATGGATCTGTTTACGGGAGACCCAACTAACAGCAGATTATAAAAAGGATGCTGGATGTCCATTTTAATCTCACA